ACCAATAAGTTCACTGAACGAAACACTTAGTACAGAGCCGGGGAATTGATCTCGAATATAACCCAGCTGAAGCATTGACTTTGTCCACAGTTTATAGAAGGCATGAATCTCGTACAGTCATGTTCGAATTGAAATTATGCTTTGATATTCTTTGAACTAGATCAGGCTTATTACATGACATAGAAACTCTGGAGTATGATCATTTGTTCTTATACCATGTGTAAAAATTCTTGAATGATCACTGAATAACGTTGATGTTTTGCTCTCATTATGACATGTATGATAAACATAAGGATATTTTGGAACAAAAACGGAATGCGATCAAATTAGTAGCAAAATTGCCTCTAATTGATAAAGAGTTATTAATATGTATCTTGTGATTTACTTTGTCTCCAAAGTCTTGAACATTACTAGGATCGCTGATTGTTCAAACAAGTGTATGTTGATCCATTTATTCAAGATACAAATTATTTTAAGATGACCTTCTGTATTAATGTATAAATTGCGCAATAGTTGTTAAACAGGGTGAGTCAAAAAACGTAACACAAACAAATGTTAATAACTCAGTCATCCACCATGGATTTAGGCCTTACGTCATGATCCATACGCCTACTGTACCGTTTACTATACCCGTGACAGTTAGTTTCAGTATTTTGGTGTGTCTAGAATTAGTAGTAATAGTAGTTATTCCTCGCTATCAATTCGAATGAAACATGACAGAACATGATGCCCGACTGCTATCGTCTTAACGTAACACGTCACTAGTAGGATCGGAGTAAGACCGTTATGTCATGTTTCCAAGAACGTGAGAGAAGGTGAAAACTACCTTCGTGTGGTGTATCTCAGTAATCTGGGTTATGAAAACTTTCCGTCTTTCCTTTCATCATCTAAATCCATGTCACATGGTATCCGAAAGAAGGAACATCACGTAAATCCACAATTACTGTTTTAAACAATAAAAGCTTGTAAATATTTATCCAACAAGCCCTTTTACAAGACACAGTTTCCTGAAGTCATATCGACGCTACAATTACGAAATGTTTTGGAGTGGTCCATCTTCAGTAGTTTTGAATTGAAGTTGAATTAGTGAGTAGGCCTAAGTAAGCCGTTTCCCTGGCCGTTTCTTGGGTATCAAAGTGAGGATATCGTATCCGATCAAATCTACACTGGTCGCAATAGTACGATGACGTTCAAAGCAAATCTCACTGAGATTATTTTGTCTGGCGTTAATGAGCACAGTGTTCCAGGGACACCATTTTATCCTTTATATTTGTGTAGTTCATCAGTTGACAGATTTTTCAAAGGAGTTGGACTACATGTATAAGCTTGCTTGATTTCTCTTTTTGTAGACATGATTTGCTGCTTTTCCATCTTGCTAATTCATCAGATGGATCTGAAAATAAAAACTGAGATCAAAAAATTGATCATACACAGAGAATATAAGCTTAATTGATAAATTAATGCACGCAAATGTCCTTTCGATTTTTACATATTTTCCTAAACATGACATAAACGGGACATTTTATTTGCTAACTTTTTCGGATTTGCGGACAACTGAAATTGATGGTGCGTGCAAAGAGGTTACAGCAGATTTTACCTTATTTTCCTAAATATGACATAAATAGAACATTTTCTTTCCAAAATTCTAAGCAAGTTTCGTAATTGCGGAAAACTTGAATTGGAAAAACATTTTTCGCATATAAAAACATATAATTGATCTATAAAAAAACATATACAGAGACTATGATTGATGGTGCGTGCAAAGGGGATACTGTTTTTCCTTATTTGCCCATATATGACATATAAAAATACATTTTCTTACCAAAATCAAAGCACGTAGAGATGAATATGAATCCAATATGGCGCCGTAGTGTTGTAACGATGTGACGTCACAAGTATTCTTTTGGTAGTTACAGCTGTGACGTCTTTCAATTATCGGAGACAGACATAGAACAATCGGAGACATGAGTTGCCATTCCCGTTGTTTAGTATTCCCAGGTGTTACATATTGGGTATATAATAATTTCAAATATAAGCTTGTGAGTAACTTATATAAGACATGATACCTGTATCTGAGAACAGGGTTTACATTTTCAGTTTGATACAGTCTCTATTTATTTCAAATACTGTCATACATTTTGGTTTATGAATTAATAAATGCAGTTTTGGTTCTGATTGTGAACATTGCACATAGCACAAAAGTATAAAAAAGAAACAATAATTTTATTTTTTGTTATTTTGTTATTGACCAATACAGTGCTTAAATAAATGCACTTTTCGATATGTGCTATATAACATTACATGTACAATGTACGTAACCGGATGACCCAAGAAGTAATTACCCAAAACTAGACACAGGATATATACAATTCAGTTTTCTGGCAAATGATGGGTTTAAGATACATCATGTAAGAATTTGCCTTAAAATAATTTATTGTACCTTAACACTTGATTAAAAGCCCATGCTAGAATCAAATAATTTAACATCTCTCATTCTCTTCTCCATTTCTATCGCTCCTCAGTTAGCCACCAAATTCTGGATATACTTAAAGAGAATAAATGCATATCATTGGGAAATTGAAGTTTTACTTTTGATCTTCATAGTATTTCCAATGGATTGATAAGTACCTGATCTTTCATTTGACACCATAAACACCTCAAACAGACCACATCAGAGTTGACAATAGATTATCAAAAATATATTTTCAATCTATCAATTTATATATGTCAAGTTTTTAGCAATGCTAATGAAAGATGGCGAAGTTTTTTGCATGACATTATCCATTGATTTTGATAGAATTTTCAAACATACGCCATCTTTTAATCCAAGAGTTATTTAAAAGATCCACTTTGTGAAAAGTGGTAATTCACTTTTTTGGATCTCTGAACTTCAAATGCTGTTTTCTATGCGAGTAATTTTTTTTTCACTTCAGTATTATCCCAAATTAAAGTTTTAATCATATTTGATTGAGTGTGTGAGTAACATGTCTCAAATAATATTTCATCATTTTTTCTTCAAAAGTAGGCATGTTGCCTGTTTAATTGGTTCTAGTATATTTTGATATATATCCTTTTGCACGAAATAATAGCATTAAAACTGTAAAAAAAATTACAGACTCTTGTAACAATTAAAACAAAGTCATGTACATAAGGGTTATGCACTGGGACGTTTGGATACAAGGCTTATCCCAAGGAAAATATATGAATATATACACATATTTCTCGAGGGATAAAGCCTGTATCAAAAGCCTACCATAAATAACAGATGTATTTCATACCTATTGAGGTTCTAGGTACATTTACCTCATTAAGTTCCATAAATCAAAAACGTACTAAAGGAACTAGCTTTTAAGTTTGTGAAATTTTCACACTCATATCAGATCAGATCATTTAATTGATATTCGAAATTAAATTAAACAAACCTCTGGGAAACCAGACTTAAGAATATAAAAAACAGCCCATGAGAAAAAGTGCTCCCTCTTTGTTTGATATTCGCAAATGCGATCTATAAGATGTATCTTTCCAAAAACTACAGTCGTACTTTGAAATGAGAGTTGATTTTACATTCCAGATCTTGATTATATGAAGAAACAAAAGAATACAATATACTAATATAAGCCAAATGGTTTATGAAAATCAATTTTTTATTTATAAAAAACATTTGGAATCAGTTACATTTACATATACAATATTGCGTCGTTGTACTTTAGTAATCACACATTATAGAACTTTTTTGCATCACGTTTTTTTGGCATCAAATAATACTAGTTGAATCTAGTTCATATAAATGCATGCCCACCTCTATCTGTTAAGCAATATTACACTTTAAAGTTCTTAGATTTGCATTATATCCTTTAAAGGTTGGTCTTATAAAATACACAACATGAATAAACACAACATATTTGTCAATTTAATTGTTCTATCATTTATACATACTGGTCCTATTATATATTAAGTTTTATACAAAGTACTGTCACCTTCTCAGGTAACTAATTTTTGACTTCTATCAATTCTATTACCACTTTACAATCATAGAGGAGATGACAGAATACATTTGGTTCTTCTTTACAAAAGGTACAAAGTACTTATTTTACTGACCATTTTCAGTTTTTTGTTAAGTAACAAACTCAGATCTTTGTTCCAACCAATAATGTACTTTGTATTGGTCTCTTCATTTTGAATAAATTCCCAATATATCATTTTTCTTTTCTTACCTTGGACAAGGACATTTTTATGAATTTTTGGGTTTGTTTCCTAGCAATTTATACTGTCAACGTTTTCTTTATATCCAACCACTGATTAGAAATTGTGTTAATAAGACTCAAAGGTTTCTGTTCAAGTCTTCTAGATTTAAAATTCTATTTGACTGATGGAACAAATCCTGTATGTAATACAATTATTTCTCGATTGTCTTCACCATTCATTTGCAGTTATTCATATTTTACATGTTATTGATACTACAATATTCTAATCGACACTGTAAAGTACAAGATAGTGCTTAATCTTAAAGCCAGAATCAGACATGTACATGTTCGTGGTTTTTAGCCTGTCGGCAAAATTATTGTTATGTATTTTATAATAAAATTTACACATGTCATTATATTATAATATATTATAGCCATCGAGAAAGCTACTTAGTTTTGTTTGTCTTACCTATGCCTATCAAAGGGCACATGTACACATTGCAGTCTTTTTAAAGCTTTATTTGGCAAAATGGCGCCGGTGAGAACATTTTTAAACAAAATGAGAAGAACATTTCTAAACTTAAAAGTCTTATAAAACGTTTAAACCACTTTGTATTATATTGTAGTCTTATCATTAAAATGTTCGAACAATTTCAAAAAGTCATGAACAGTAAACAAATGATAAAAACGTATTTTGAAACTGAACATGAGACCTTTAAGTTTCTAAACTTTCAGTAACTCTCAACTTGATGCACTCAGTTGAAGTACTGGGGCATTGGACATGTTGGAACGTTGTTGGAAGTGATTTCTCTAACCAATGTATCTTTGTACTAATCCAAAAAGATGATTCCAAAAAGATGCACCATTATCTTTTCAAATTATAAGTAATTTTACAGACGTACAGAAATGTAGGTCCGTGTTATCACTCTAAGTTTAAAAGACAAAAATGTGAAAAATCATGCAGTGTTCAATATCTCGATAATGCCAAAACTATTGATCAGTTACTCCAAAGCATATACAATGTTCATATTAGCCAATATTGTTTCTATTGTCATCGTTAACTTAAATACCCTATTAAAATTGAAATTAAAAACTAAAATATGCCATTTGTGGTTCGAGGCCCAAAGAAGGCTGCAGCGACTCACTCTTTAAAATTGCATACATTTCAATCATAAAGATATATCATAAATAAGTAATAAATATATTTTATATAGATACATTTCTCCTGAGGGGCCATTTCTACTGAAAGGACACTTTCCTCCATAAGTCTGGCAACCGGGAATTTTTGTATCAGACTTGTTCATGTTTGAATCTTTCGTATGTTCCTTTTAACAATCCTAAAACTCATGACAGATTTGATCGCCATAAATGGTTAGGTTTAAATACGCGGTCCAGAAGGGGAGTTCCGATTGCCAAACGTATGGAGAGGTTTGTAGGTCAATATGACAGTTTCTATTACATCAATGTAACTACTGTACACGTAACACGTAGCATTGACATCACTACAGTAGTTATGGCACATGGCAAAATATGCACCTGGCAAGATAAGTTGGCACACGGTTACTATACTTTGTTTTGCATAGGCCGATGTGATGTGAGGCAACCAAATCTTTTAAAAAAGCCTCGGTTGGGCAAAAAATCCTTTAGGAACCCCTATTCCAACCTATTAATTAGAATTTTTAAATACATACTCGGTAGCATTTTACTGGTTGAGACTCAATCAATCATTGTTCTTCGGAGATAATAAGGATTTTAAAATATCCCAATGATAACATAGGGATATGATTATATCCCGGCCGTGTGAATGGTGCATATTCTCATGTAAAGTCAATACGCATTTGCATGCTGAGAACTATTTTTCTCAGAAGAACATCGGTTGATTAAGCCTCGACCAAGAATAAGGGCTCACTTGATCTGGCACTTAGCTTTGTTTTAAAAGCTTTGGTTACCTCTTTATTTTATTCATACATGTATATAATGTAGAGGTTGTTCTAATTACACCACATTCCCACTCCAATCATACAATTGTTTGTCAAAGCTGTTGGTGGCCCTCATTATAAATGTCGTTACGATTCCTCCGGCAAACATAAATGGCACTGCCAAAAACGACATCCAGATAAGCAATCCCATTCCAGACAGGCCATGACCACTGAAAGGATACACAAAGGTATGCAGTTAAAGACGAGATGACGGCAAATCGTAGATGGCGGATCTTTGTAGTATTGGTTTTATGAACGGAACAAACTAAAACTTCACCAAACCAAACACCAGCACGCTGAATATAACGTTGAGCCGTAAAACGCTAAAAGACTAAATTCCCTGATCTATTTTTCGAATGTTGCACTGAACAATGGTTGGATTGCAATTAAAAGCAAAAGAATCGAGAAATAGGTTTTGTGAGGACCGTAAGAGTTACATAAATGCCTTACCTAGTACACCCAGCTCCGATTCTAGCTCCAAATATCATGAGGAATCCCCCAACGATTGCCATGGAGACGTGAACTCCCGGAGTAGTGCTGTGCGTGTTGGATGACAGCGCTGAAAGACCACCTCCGAATATTGCCCCGAATACGTATAGCACCTAGATATGGAATCATGTCATTTAATTCGAATGCATATACCGTGTATAAAACATACGCACAATCATGTACATGCTCATATGTCACATCAATTTCATCATAACAATCTGACCAAATATGGCACAAGCATGTTACGATCGAAAATTCAGATACGACACTCATCTTAAATTCAGATTTTGCATTTATCATATTGACCGCTCATTATAAGTCCAATCAACTTTATAGTAGCCTATTTTTATTAGTAGCCTGTATTGGCGTTATAGGTTTCCGATCTGTGTAAGAAGCGTGAAGAAATGTTGACTTTCTTTTATCACAAGTACCATGATTAGTGGTCAAAAAACAGTAAAAAAAGCCATTATTTACTTTCCCTTAAACCACACTTAGGTAGCACCACAATTTAGATAGAATTCCAATAACATTTTATTTCCAAAAATATACAGTTGTAACAAAGAAGAGTGCATTATTTTTCATGGCTTTCAAAGTATTGACAAGGTATCTAAAATCAGTGCTGCACAAAAGACAATTGATTGTCACATGTAATGCACTAAAGCTGATCTAATTACACCCTATCTACTCATTCAATAGTTAAATAGTGAACACAAAATACACCAAAGTTTAAACTGTGTCTGGCCTGTCACATGTAGTGCACTGAAGATGAAATAATTACATCCGCTCTCTTCTCAATACACTAACCTCATAGTCAATACAAAAGAAATCAAATTTGTAAAATTGGATCATGGGATATTTACCCTTGATGAGAGTCAGTGTAGGGTTTAAGTAAGATAAATCATTCGTACTGGGTCTTAGGAGAACTAATAGGCTCGGGCCAAGGCCCTCGGCTATTATTCCTCCTAAAACACAGAACTCATACTTTATCCATAACATATTGGCACATTGAACTCTTACCTGCCACCAGTTACCAAGACCACATCGTGAGTTTGCCAAATAAGGAAACATCTCCTGAAGTTTCGGTGTAATAACCCATTGAGAGACGATGGTAACGTAACTCGAACTTCCACCTACAGTGTCACAGACAGTCAGCACTATGACAATCTGGAGAAGCCCAACCAAAATTCCTGAAAATTGTAAATTAAAAATATCAATTAAGATAGGGTTCATTTTAAAACACAAGGTCCAGGGCATGCTCTATTTTTGGATGTAAATTGATATCCAAAACACAAAGAATAGAAACTAACATATACAGGACATGATGGATTAAGAAGTGAAGCCTTGAAGAATGGAGAGCAGAATTATCTTGCTTTTATATGTCATCCTCCGATCACAGGGCTTCAAAATCCAGAATATCTTCTTTCTTTTTACGGAGGTACGGATTCTGGACACCTGCTAAGGAGGATGGAAGAAGGAGGTACGGATTCTGGACACCTGCTTAGGAGGATGTTATATGTATGAACAGTTTTATTTCAATTTATACAAATATTGTAAATGTCAAAATTTTGAAATAAACTAACATTAAAAAATATTTTGCTTAAAAAACTTATACAACGAGCATTCACAATTTTATAATGTTATCCAGCAATAGCGAAGTAAAGTCGTCTTACCTCCCACAAAAGGTGGCCACGCTCTTGCTGTCATTATATTTGTCGAGTTGTTTGGAATCTGAAAAATGATAGCGTGAAAAGGTGGAATGGGAATACACAAAGTGTTTTGTCGACGTTCTGTGCAAGGATGTACTAACACGGTACACCCCAATTTAACTTCAACTTTGAATGGCTAAAATATTGATTGTCGCATTTTCCGTTGGTTTTGTCTATTGGGTTCCAGACCAATTGTGGAATGCGGTATACACTGTTATCTCCAGATAGTCCTGTCCCTAGCCTCTCTGAGCTTACTCGGATTTAGAATGAAATAACTTTTGATTTTCTTTTAGTAGATACCCTGAAGTGTAGGAATCCATAAGTTATTTTTCCAGGTTTGGGTAAAATCAATTTTTATGGCAGGTTATAGTGGCGCCATCTAGTGATTTTAAAGTTGCAGGGTGATAATCTTAATTAATTTTTTTTTCAGCCAAACCTAATTTCATATTTATTTTTTTGCTTTTTTCTTAGAGACTACTTCCTAAACTATGCATTTGAATTTTTAGGTGATCCTGGAAGGTCATTTGATGGGTCATTTTGCCTCAAATATACAGAAGCGCCACCTATAATCAAGGGTCTACCTTATAAAGTTTATTATTCTGAGGCTGTTATGGTAGATAAAATTGTTATTATTGGTGTAATAATTAGAACCATAAAGGGGACATATGATGCAGTATCAAATTAATATATGTGGGACATGGGAACTTTAGAAAAAATTTTTTTTGTAAAAGTGGAAGAAATTTGACAAAATATCAGTTTTTACATATTACCAAATACATATGCTTTTTTTATTTCTAAGGTAATCCTTATATGATGTAACAAGTACAAACAAATACATTTTGATTTTTGAGAATATGAATGAAGTAATTGTAGGGCTGAATTTTGGTTTTGGCCCATTATTATTATTTAATTATCCTGTGTTTGATATACACTCCTTATTATATCAAAGACTCAACTTCTGGAAATACAACACAGTACTTAATGAATGTATGAAAAGCTTTTCCTGAGTTTCTTTGTATTAATAGAGTATAACATCTATTAATCATATCATTTCCATAAGTGTGCACTTTTAGAATAAATTATATTTTATTTTACAGGTAATTTTTGCCAGAAACATTTTGTATAAAATTAGAGCTTCTCAAAAGATGTATCTACACTTTTCAAATAAAAAATGATCCTTCAATCTATCCCACCCAAATGGAGTTAGATCTAATTTTATATTATATTTATACCATCATAAGTTAATATCAAACTCAAAACTGAAACTCCTGTTAAAAGCCATGGCAGCTAATTTTGGGGTAATTTACATCTTATTAGCATGAAGGTTGTTTAAAACAGTAATCTTCTATAATTGACTTATTGACTAACCTCTGTTTTTGTATTTAGTATATATTTGAGACTACAGATGAACATGTATTGAATTGGTGGAAACAAAATTATTAAAATGTGATTAAAGTAAGTAAGCTTAAGGTTTATTTAAGATATAAAGATTGCTCATCTTCGACAAAATAGAAGAATTAAAATTATGATCACTTAGAATGATTCGAATTATTTCTAATATAGAATGTAAGTTGGTGTCTAGGAAAATAAAACATATGATCACATCCAGCTTTTCTTTGAAAGTCAAATTTCCTTGCATATGGATTAACGAATGAACGTTAATAACTAAAATGAACCCAGTTACATGATAAACTATGCATGATCCTGAATTGTGACTGTACATGTATTTTTGAGACCCAGAGATTGAATATTTTAAAATCACTAACAATCTATTTCTTCTCCAGTTAACTTCCTAAATGGCTTCTATAAACTTTGAAAGAGGAAAATGTATTATCTGCCAAGATGATTTTAAAGACAGTAACAGCAATGTTGTCAAGCCAACTGTGGGACAAGCAAGAGGTGTTGCAACCTTGCTTAGAATAAGCAAAATGAAAGATGATGAAGTTTATCAACGTATGAAAGTAACTTGAAAACGCACCTATTCTATATCACATGAACAATGCTTGCTACAGAGTATACACCCAAAAACGGCATACTGAAGAAACCATTGAAGGAATGGTTGGAAACACACCTCATTCCTCAACAGCACAACCCAAACAAATGAAATGTTCCCTTCCACAAAGGAATGAAGAAACTGAAACTGATACTGAAAAAACCATTGAAGGAATGGTTGGAAACACACCTCATTCCTCAACAGAACAACCCAAACAAATGAAATGTTCCCTTCCACAAAGGAATGAAGAAACTGAAGAAACTGAAACTGATACTGAAGAAATCATTGAAGGAATGGTTGGAAATACACCTCATTCGTCAACAGCACAACCCAAACAAATGAAATGTTCCCTACCACAAAGGCCCTCTGTTGAAGCTGTTGATGTACCTAAATACCAGAATGTTTGTATATATTGTAATCAGGTCACAAAAAACAAAACATATGAAAAATCCCGAATTTCTGAAGAGAAGAAAGCTACTGAGTTTCTTGTACAAACCCAACACTTACAGGATGAAGTGTATACCAGCACCTGTCACCTCACTGATGTGAAAGGAGTGATTGAAGCTGATCTCTTATACCATAACTATTGTTACAAACAATACAGCCATAAATACCAGAAAAGTACTGATTCAAATTCTCTTCATGATAAATCAAATATGTATGATGTATTTAATGATGTCATCAATGAAATTCAACAAGACTTGAATACAGGAAAAGCCTTCTCTGTATCAGAGATTTGCAAAGAGATCGGTGACCGCCTTCGACGTAGCCCTGTTCAAGGGCAACTTGTCACCAAATATTTGCGTAAGCGATTTGGTGAAGATGTCACATTTATAAAGCACAGCAAGAGGCAGTCTCAGGATTTTCTTCTGGCAAGCAAGATAGATGCTGTAAAATTGGTAATTAATCATTTATAATTTAAAAGTACTTATTCAGTGTGTCAAATAAGTCCCGCCCCCCCCCTCTACAGCCAAGACCTTAATAGATGGTACCTAGTGTGATATACCAATGGAAAGATCATCCAAAGTTACGTTAACTCACCAACTCTCAAGTATTTTGGATGAAATTTATCTATATTTTGATAGTATCCTTTATAGTTAGTGTACTCTCTTCCAATGGCCCTTTTTGCGTCAAAATGAGAAGGATTTGACCTAAAAAATATTGGCATTCCACCTGTTACCAAAGAGTTTTCACTATCACTATCACTATCCTCACCCCTCTATTTTCTACACACATACCCCTATCCAGAAATTGGTTGAATTTACAGCCAAACACAAAATGTTGACATTTTGGGTTCCTTTGACTTCTGATGCCCGATTCTAAAAACCCTGCCTAAAATATGTAAAATTGCCATGTTTTTAGGTCTATGGTCACCTCAATTGATACAATGTAGCAATTTGTAACATTGATTGACAGGTTTCAGCTATATGCCAATCAACGTAACTTTGGACAATCTATCCAATGATATATCACACTTGATACCATATATCTTGGTTTTGGCTGTAGAGGGGGGACGGGACTTATTTGACACCCTGTATGTTAAGGTAATTCTGTATGATAAAAATTTTGATGCAATCCTCCATAGAGTCACATGTTAATTTTTAGATATCAATCACGCCTTCCCAAAATTGTCTTCATCTTTCAGCTTTGCACAAAGAGTGCACTAATGTACCTAGGAAACACTGTTAAGAGAAGATTTTTTTGATAAAATATATAAAAAAAAACTAGAAAATTCAGTGAGAACATTTTGTGAACATTTTCTGGATTTTCTAACTGAATTTTCTTGTTTATTTAAAAAATAACCGTTGTTTTCTAGTCCCTTATTTTACAATGAATTGGAATTTAGGTAGAATCAGATCAGGGAGCAGTTTTTAAAAATATTTATGTCATATTCGTAATCACATCTATTTTCTAGAAATTCAAAGCAGTGCATTCTTTATTAAAAAATAGAGGTATTTCTGTTAATACGTTCAAGTGTTTTGCTGTGGATATATATACTTTGAATCTGAAATATGGTTATATTATTTCATAAAATAGCATGTATCTATATTAGGAGGTACAATATTTGAAATGGTCAGGAAGACTTGGGGAGGCTAAAAGCGCATTTTGCTTTCAATTTTGTCATTGTTCTCTATGTTTCTTACTTTGCCTTCAAAAATCATACATGATTTACAAACAAATGAAACTTATAGAAAAATATATTTTCTATAGATGGGGCCTTTTATGCATGGTTTCATTCTGTCTATAATGTATTCATTAATAACCGTAATTGTCAACCATAAGCTTAACTTGTCTAAATATATATTTTTCTACTTGTTACATCATGTTAGGTTTACCTTAGAAATAAAAAAGCATATGTATTTGGTAATATGTAAAAACTGATATTTTGTCAAATTTCTTCCACTTTTACAAAAAAAAAAATTTCTAAGTTCCCATGTCCCACATATATTAATTTGATACTGCATCATATGTCCCCTTTATGGTTCTAATTATTACACCAATAATAACAATTTTATCTACCATAACAGCCTCAGAATAATAAACTTTATAAGGTAGACCCTTGATTATAGGTGGCGCTTCTGTATATTTGAGGCAAAATGACCCATCAAATGACCTTCCAGGATCACCTAAAAATTCAAATGCATAGTTTAGGAAGTAGTCTCTAAGGAAACAGCAAAAAAATAAATAGGAAATTAGGTTTGGCTGAAAAAAAAATTAATTAAGATTATCACCCTGCAACTTTAAAATCACTAGATGGCGCCACTATAACCTGCCATAAAAATTGATTTTACCCAAACCTGAAAAAATAACTTATGGATTCCTACACTTCAGGGTATCTTCTAAAAGAAAATCAAAAGTTATTTCATTCTAAATCCGAGTAAGCTCAGAGAGGCTAGGGACAGGATCAAGATGATTTTGGTCTATGTTCAGAGCATATATAGAATAGATATGTGACACCATCTTTTTAAATGTGCATTTTGGAAAAAAACATTGTCTTCAAATTATATTTGAAGAGTCGTCAGTGCTGTATGAACACAGGGTGATCCAAAGGTACAATGAGTACAGATTATTCCTGGACTAACCTGAAAAAGTATACCTATGCGACTAACATTGTTGTTTTATTGGTTACCATGGTAATATTATCTAGCGATATGTGGATCAGTCAAGATGTTTTTTTATAAAATGCAAGAAACAAAATCTACTAAGATTTTGTTCAATGGAAATATGACTATTGATTTAATGTTATTATATTAATGGCATTGTTTATAGAACCAGGACTTCATACGCCCATGACGACACTGAAACAAAAAGTTGCACTGTTTGTTCGTTTCCTTTTTATGTAGAAAGAATTATCAGAATAATGCCTGCTTCTCTGTCTATTCTATTTTATCCAAATTGTACTTCCTTTTGAGAATTATGCACCAACAAAAACAGTGAACATTTTATACTGATAAACAGGATCTAAGGATTGCCGACACGCAAAAATATGGCAACGTCATTTTTTCCAATTGCTGATTATTTGATTAAATTTTTATCAATTTGCTCAGGAATAATTGTGACCAAAGAACGTCAAACATGTTTGATAATTAATACCAAAATGCTATAACTCATCTTGGAAATTTTGGATCAGCCTGTATTTGAAAATTCAAACTCACATGCTAATAACGCAAAGGTCTTACATCTAATTCTAGGTTCCCATTCCAAGGTCTGAACCACTCCAATATGAAGACTACGATGGATAGGAGTATAGCCATGGGGATCGCTACGGAGAAATATGGTATGTTGAATTTGTCATGGACTCTGAAAGAGAATATAAACCTTTATTGTGACATTCATTTTTTGATGGTTTTCAGTGCTCCGTTGAGTAGGATAGATACATTTCCTTATTTGGAAATGGTTATGGACGATTTTTTTATTTTATGGGATCAGATGACCAGATGGTCACACTAATATAACAGACATATAAATGATATCTATGACATACTGTTGCTCATCGGTCAGCTCCCAAGTTTAGTTATTTTTTGTATTTTAATGATTCATAAGCTTGATGAATTGCATTATATTATCACAATACTAGGGAGATACGCTGGAACGTTTGATAAGTATGATGCCTACTCACGTTGCAGCCTGGAATGGTGTCTTTGGTTTGGTTAGCTTTACTACATAAGGTGCAACAAGTCCATAGAACAGAGCTCCTAGAAGGGCCCCAATAAATGTGTATACTGAAAAATATTAAAAATAAACGGGTCATCAGCATATCATAAACAATTTTCGATCGATTTATTCTATAGCTTGGCCACGATATCTGACACTTTGAAGTTCCAAAACTATGGTGTGTCAAACAAAGCTATCAAATGAATGGCACCATTAGTGCTACACATGGCACCATTAGTGATACAAATGACACAATTAGTGCTATAAATGACACAATTATTGCCATAAATGGCACCATTAGTGCTATAAATGGCACCATTAGTGCTATGATCAACACCATATCATGGCACCCTTTTTGCTGTTTCTATATTGGCATAATTTTCAAACATGTTACACCAAACAATACCGAACACATGATAAACATTACATCTGACTTACTTGAGTTCACCGTCCATGTCCCTACTTGAGCAAGCACCATTCCTGGGCACTGTAATAAATAAAAGAGACAATTTCTCCTTAACAAGTCGTGTAGTTTTATTCACATTTATAATCGGGAGATGTATTCTATATAAACTAATTATATGTGTATCTGTAATTTGAAGAATGTAATTTTATTCTATTTATTACTTTCTTTACTGTAATTGTAAAATTGTAATATCGTATTGCCGGTTGTACGTTTGGACCAAGGCATTGATACAAGTAAATCCTATTATACTACTGTATATATTTATTAATGCTCCTTTATGTATTAACGAAATTTTATTTTAGTATATGTAGAACTGTTATTATACTAAATAGATTTCTGAACATTCACTTACGGCACCAGCTAATGCCATACCAGCGCCAAGGAGGAATGGTCCGACTGAGCTAGTTAACAAGCCTTTGGTCTCTTTAAAACAGCCGGTGTATGCATCAATAGAGAGGTTAAACTTCTGTTTGGTGAATGGGAGAACGGAAAGGGCTGCCATACAGAGCTGTCCCGCAGCCACCGCTGCCAGGAACATCTTCAGCATTATAAAGCGCTCAAATACAAATTGTCCCCTGATAGATCTGGGCTCGAATACTGAAAAATAATCAGCGCCATCTAGTGATTTAAGTATATATTTTTAGACTTAGTCCTAGACCTTTAGCGTTTTATTTGGAACGTATTACTAGAGTTAAAATTGCATTATCATCATTCTGAACATATTTATTTCTTATTAGATAAAACTCTCAACGTAAAAGTAATTTATGCTCTTAAATTGATCGAATTTTTAAAAACTTTTGAAGCACATTGGGATTTCAATGTCAAACATTTTATATTACTTCGTATTAGTATTTCTAACGTGACAAAAACTGCATTGTCATTTTGTTAAACATTGCTATCATTATTATAAGATAAAACTAAAAATAATGCTACAGTTATATATACTTCATGAGAGTTTTATGAAATTATAAAATTTAGAGTATGACGCTCTGTTAATAATTAATTTAATCCGAACGTGATTTATAAATATGAACAAATATTCACAGAATTGTAAATATCCATAGGGTATACTTGACATTGTAACAGACGATTGTTTTCTAAAAATAAGTATTACATTCCACCAATAATCTATATTATACACTCCCCTCAATATTTTTTATTTATTTATTTTTTTTATTTTTTTTTTATTTCAAAGAATAAGCATGTTAAAGCAATTGCAAAAAACAATTACAGTACAGTTACATGGTAAACCTACATTTAACAATTTTACAATACAGTACAGTGGTTAAATATTTCGTCTTAAGAGACGTTATACCATTGGCATTTTTTTATTTATTTAAAGGAAAAAAGACCCCCTTTGGATAATTTGTTAAAGCTTATTTATGTTTCGCGCGATTAAAAAATATGTCAATATTCCGAACTATTTTGGTTGAAGAACAGAACCTAGCATTAAAATGCTTTAACATGCTATCCGTTGAAGGCCAAACTTATGGAGAGGAGTGTAGGTTTTTTCTGGTCTACATTCCGTTTTGTCATTGCTTTTCCTTCTGAAAAACGTGATTGATTAAGTTGGATTATTTCTGGAAAGCATTAGGTTAATTAAATTGTATCATTTCAGAATAGAAACCACGAGCAGTACACGTACCGTTGCTCCGTTTTACATTCCGATAATTGACAGTATGATGTATTTTATTAAACGTGTATTCGGTATACTATAATACTATAATATAATGAAATATAATTAATGTTTAATCATCATTTTGATACCTGATCGTATCAAAGTTGTCGCACAACTATAGACGATTATTTATTTGTCCTGGAACAATGTTTAACATTTGTTTGAGTCTTAATGATATTTTCCGATCGAATAGCTTAAATAGTAAGTTGATTTTTCTTGGTTGTTTTGTTTTGAATCGTTAAGCCTATTAAAATTGTCAAACTCGCACCATTTTCCTTGACGTGTAGAATTAGTAATATCGAGGTCATTGACTTTAAACTTTATTTCACACCTGCTTGTACTGCGTAAATAATTTATATGCAGCATTTAAGGCATTTAACCTGATAAATAAACAGACACTTTCAAAGGTCATGTTTGAATCAAGCGGCTACATGATGTTTTAGTTTCTTAAATTCTTGAGTCTAATGTTGTTGCACGCGATGAGTAAGAACGCCACTGCTTTAACTATTTTGCTTGATTAATTTGTAAAATAGTGTATTATCGCCAAAGGGTATAATTTGAATGACCTTCCTACCTTCTTTAACAACATTTTATAATGACTTGAAATAACTTGTAAAAAATATATCATAGATCATCTATTGAGAAATTCAAAAGTTTCAGGTTAAACATGATAAAAAGTATCGACGAGCAAATAAAGATTGCTATAAAAACAACGAATTATTTTTGAAAATAGACCATTTTTTAAAATAGCCCATTGCAATTAATATTCCAGCTTACTCGAGAGCTGGAGAGTATAGGGGAAATATATATTTTATGATAATCAAGAAGGCCGTTGTGACAGGTATGTTGTGATAAATAATCATAACATTATGTATGTTTCGTAATAGTGAATCAATAGCGCCTTCATCTTCAGTCCGAGGCCATTGTTATTTATTCGTGATGGTCGTATTCAATTGGGACTTGGAACAAAAACGGTGAAACTGGAATCAATTCAATGATTAAATTACTATAGATAATGGATATAAAATATTGTTTAAAAGTCTAAATTTCTAAGTTAAACAAACCTCTAGTCTTTTCCAATGCCCATCCGAAAACAATCCCTCCAAGGAAACATATCGATAATTTCATAAGAACTATGACTGGCCCACCGTCAGGCTTGCACGATGGTGTATTTTCTTGCTCGTCATAGTCCTTGCAAAGTTCCATATCAGACCCTACTTTAGTATTCGAACTCCGCCTTTCTGCCTCCATTTCAGTGTGACTTGTGTAATACATTACGGGAGTAACGACATTAGGACCTTTCCCTTGAATCCGAGGATACTTCTCCGGTTGTGTAGATGTCATTTTCATCGTCACTACTTCCAAATGCCCAACACTTGTTAATTAACCGGGTTCTTGAATTATGAACTGAACACTTTATTCATTGCCCATTTATGACGTGATCAGCCTTAACAAAATTAATCTCAATATCGTGTTTGTATTGTTGTATTATTGTTCCTGAAATACTTTATTCCTCTCGCTTGCATTGGATTACCTGTATTACTATAGGTAGAGCGCGGCTATGTAGTTTATATCCAATACGAACGTGATCAAAGACTGTACTTGAATCCGTTCATTGACTTGACGTCAGATTCAGTATTATATGGGTCACGTTTACTATACATTTATGTATATTTGAAATCAATCTCTGTATTAAAGGTAGTTAGCGCGATGTTTCGGGTGTTTATGTGCAATGAATGTTTAATGGTCATAACCAGCATACCGTACATAGTACAGGCTCTCATTAGCGTATTACTGTGGACCTTGAAATCGGACTTTGTCTTTGAAATATTATCGAGTGGATATTATTGTTCACCAATAAGTAGAACAAAGTACGATAAATACCAATGCCCATTGACGATTGAAAATATATACGACCACCGATTGGTATCGAAAGATTTGTCCGCAGTGACGGACCATGCTATTTTTTATAAAAACACTAAGAAAAGTTCACAATCTATTTTTAACTCAGATGTTTGTTATACCAAAGAGAATTACCTAGTCCATGCAATTGATATATCATTTGCGGGTAACCTTCACTTCTGGCCGAAGTCCAATAACCCTAAGTCGTAAAACCTATTGAAAACAGCGAGTCTTTAAACTGGACCATTTCTTTTTTAACTTTTTAATGGCTAGTGATATGATAGTATGACTATATCGTGAATATTATCGTATCACTTTATTGTGCCTTTAAAAAGTGGTACAAGAAATGCCATTCTAGAGTATGATACGCTGGCTCCGATCTCTGTAGCTTTTATTCTTAGCCGTTATTGGACTTCAAACAGAAGTGAATGTTACCCGCAAATGCATAATATATCAATTGCAAGGAATACGTAATTTACTATAACGAAACATATTGTGTTAAAAATGAATTGTGCAGTTTTCTTGTGTTTTTATTAAAAATGGCATCTTCTGTAACAGCGGACAAATCTTTCGATCCAAGCCCGTGGAGAATGTACAGCAAAAGTAGGCTTTATTAAGCTCGAATGATATACTTTGTGATGAAAAATGTTAAATATATTGTAAAGGATACACAACATGATGCATGTATAACACAAAAAGATGATGGAATAACTTTGAGCGTATTTAGGGCGTACTTTTGGTTCAAAAACCATCTTCTGAATTATCAAAGCTTGCATTCAGTGACAATTGCAAACGACTACTATCACCGTTTTAAAAGGCAAAGTAGTGTGCAATAAACCAACTTTCTACATGATAATTCATTCATCGACCTATACACAGTATATGTAGTAATTGATATTCTGATGTAATTAAGAGTCAGAATTACAGGTCACATATCACCTTTTTTATGCATGCAAGCATTTCACATATTTGCATTGGTAAAAATTGTCATCACGTAATTTAAATTGGACCGACGTGGATAACACCTTTCCGTATTGACATATGACCTTGTTTAGTTAATCGTTTCAACCATGGGCTTTCGTGAGAGCCTTAAACTTGGGTCCAACAATTAGTGCAGGGGGGCCATTTAACGATCATCGACCAGTGCCAAAATAAATCTAAGTATGGATATTTCATCAAGACTAACATTTATTTTTATTAGTACAAAGAAACGTCCTGGATGAACATTATTTCAGCTGATATTCCTCTTTAACGTGATGAATCTTAAAAATCTATAAATGTGACTCCCTTTATAGAAGCTTTGAACTGAATTTACACTTCTTAATCCTGAAATTGATAGTTTATCCATACATTTTAAGAAAATAGGTATATCAAAGAATATGTTAATTAAGCCAAATATTGACCTGATAGCTCAGAAAAAATTTAAAAATTCGAATTTTCTCTCTACAGTCCTTGTTCAGTGCCCCCGGCTTTAATATTAAATTTGATCATATTTTTCAAAAGTCTTGCAATCACCGATCACCGTTCGTCGACTAATGGCCATGAGTTGTTCGTTATTCAAATTAACGTCAAAATGACGGGTCTTTATATGCAAATTGATAGCTTAATCCAATAGCCGACAGCCGAATGTTGCATTGAATTCGCGAATACAAGCTATTAAGTCATAGTAGATTGAAAGCAATGTACGATCAGTAAAACTTCGAACGCTGTATCAACGTTGTGTTCGCATTTTCGACGTATCTAGTATTTCAAAGGCACAGGAGTCAAGTTGACTTACTTATCAGTTCATACGTTTACACTGTGGAACGAAGGCAAACTATAAGTATACCAGCTTGAATCGACCGTTCACCAGATAAACGAAACAACTATTTCATCTCACGGGTCTCAAAGGATCTTTGCGTTTTGTACAAAACTATCGTTGAAGTGTAATGGCACAACTGTTATATTCATTTGGAACCAACGATGACGTCGTACGAACATGAAAGAAGCCTATAAGTCGACGCAGATGTAGATATTTATTGACGTATTATTGTTGCAAAACATGACCATAGACCTGAGGCTGCAAAACATCTTAAAAACATAAGGTTTGTACTGTAACATAGATACCTAGAATACAAACTGGTGATTAATTCTGCTCTGTTTTACTACTGCATATACACCCTATGCAGACAGAGCCTGTGGGAAATATTGGGTGCGGAGCAAATGAGCGGAGGGTGCGGAGCTAACGGTTATTTTTGAATTTAAATTTGGGATATTTCTGAAACTAAGCCGTTTTGGGACTTCAAATATACCAAGATATGTGTATTTGACACCAAATATCAATACAATTGTGAAAATAGTAGCGCAATTCATTCTATAGCGACGCAGTGTGCCTTAAACCTTTCCCAGACCTATATATTTTGAAATTATCCTTTTAATACTGAGTCCCCAGCATTCATAAAAAATGGTGTTCAAGGTGCACTATCTATACAAATTATTTTTGCATCTTGGAAGCCAGGCAGTATCTGTGTGATTTTATAAAAATTCGGAAATTTTTTCAGATATGAGCCCCCTCTAAATATTGGGTGCGGAGCAGCTCCATAAACGTAGCTCCGCACCCAATATTTAGAGGGGCTCATATCTGATAAAGAAGAACAAAAATTTGCATGGGTAGTGTATCTTGAACACCATTTTTTATGAATGCTGGGGACGCAGTATTAAAAGGATAGTTTCAAAATATATAGGTCTGGGAAATGTTTAAGGCATACTGCGTCGCTATAAAATGAATTGCACTACTATTTTCACAATTTTATTGATATTTGGTGTCAAATACACATATCTTGGTATATTTGAAGTCCCAAAACGGCTTAGTTTCAGAAATATCTCAATTTTAAATTCAAAAATGACCGTTAGCTCCGCACCCTCCGCTCATTTGCGCCGCACCCAATATTTCCCACAGGCTCTGTCTGCATAGGGTGATATAGGCTATATTAGCCTGTCTGTTAATGAATAGACCGCTAAAGCCTAGCCTTGTATTACTCATGATGATGTTCTCGAGACTCATGATCGATACTGAAAAAGTAACAAAATGCGCTATAGTACTGGAGTAAACGCTCGAAAATATGGCCTAGACCGGGGCCTAGATGATTCTTGGCGTTTCACTTTCTGTGGTGAGATGGGGTTCACATTCAGTTTCAAAATCAGTTTCACATTGTGATGGAAGATTAACAGATTTGTCAGCTCAGAGTTCAGTAACAGTATACAACAAGAGAAATTGTGCAGTGCTTTTCAGTATAAAATATTGTAATTGTACTTGGCCAGCTGAGGAGCTTACAAAAAATCAATACACTGTGTACTGCACTCATATCGCTGTTTCTGTTTCTGTAACAAGATGGCTACAGTTCCGGTTGTTTGGTAAGATTTTCATTTTCATTGATTTCTCGAGGTACTATAAATCATCCAAAATCTTCGAGGCACAAATATGTATAAGCATCATATATTTCTGGAAATCCAAGTGATTTCGCATGAAATAGTTCCTGGAATGGCAGAATCGTAGATAATTCCCCACTTATGTTACGTAAACTTCAAAAATAGTGAAAATTTGCATTTCAAGCTCGTTCCGTATACGTAATCATAGTATCAAATCGACAATTCTGTTGTCTTCTGAACTACTTGTTCGCAAACGTGTAGATTTTCTTAACATTGTAATTCTGACACACGTACTTTTGCGATAGAATGTCGTGGGAATTCTACCTAGAAGTTGTGAAACTAAGGAAAAAAGAAAAATCGTACCTTCGGGGTTCCGACATTTTGTTACCGAAACGGATTCGGTATAACTACATGTAGTTTGAAGAGTTCAGTATCAATGATTAGGAACAGATGCAGGAAATTATTTGATCAACATGTTGTTTATTTGTATGAATTGCCAGTTTATTTTAAAAACAAACCGAGGCTAAATGCCAATGTCTATATTACACACTGCATTGTACACTTGTTTACGAATCTCGATTAACACTTTGTAAACAATTATGTTTTTGAAATGCAACTGAATGGCGAACAGATACACAAATATCAAATTTATTGTGTATCAAAGTAAAAAAATGGAAAATAGGCAAAATATTAAAGAATGATGCACTGTTATCCAAAGTAAAGACAACTTAAATGTTACGTCATATTTTAGTAATTACAGGCGCTATAGATAGAGGTCAAACATATACTTGGCATTCTTAGCAATTTAAATTGATACAATACTATAAGGGTAAAATTGATTTACCTTGACTTTTAAGTCACCACTTCGTGTTAATACTGAGTACTTATTACCCCTTTGCATTTGTTCGACTTCACTTCTTAAAGAGAGCCCTGTCGGTAGTTAACTAGACTCTGCACACAGGGTAATTTATAACTAGACTCTGCACGCAGGGTAAGTACTTATTAGTTTTTGAATATTGTAAAAAGTAGTCTTTGGTTCATCTACTATATTATAAGATTAACCCCCTGCCATTAGTTACAGACGCCGAACTCCAAATGCCGAACGCCGGACACGAACCGCCGTCACAAAAAGTTGGAGACCATTATAATATGTCGCCACTTTCGGTAGTGACATTGCAAGGAAGATATACGAGTATGTCTTATTTTAGTCGAAGACGCCCAAAATTATTCAACTAAACACTGCAAAAAACTATGAAAATCATAGGAAATATTACCGTAGATACGGCAATATAGATGGTGAGGTAATCTAATATATCCTATAATTACCAGCTGTTTTATATTGGTTTACATTTTTTTTCCGAATAACTCGGTGTAATATAACATCTTATTACAAGTATAGATGAAAATAATTAAATATAAACGTTTTTCTTGCATCTTATTCTTCTTCTAAACGCGTATAATAATTTCTCAACTAAGATTGCATTGTATTATATTCTCCAAGAAAAAATATTATTCATACATTATTCTAGGACTTCAACCTATTATTCGGCGAATAACCGGTTCTGAGAGTGTGTAACCTATTATTCGGCAAATAACCTGTTCTGATATTTTAATTGTTTACTTAACGGGCGCCAAGCGTCTGGAGCCTAAACATGAACGGTAAATATTTTGATTGTGACTGATTACTAAACGCAAAAATGCGAGTAGTTCAAGTTTTCTCTTTTTTTATCAGAATTCATCGCCATTCAAAACAATTTCAATATAAAACTCATTATGTAAAATGTTTAGCTAATGGGAATAAACTATTTGTGACTATTAACAACCGCCCGATCCTTTCAAAAGAGATACAAGGATATTTTGTCTCAATCCACTTACCTCATTTTATGTAACTAAAATATATTTTATGATTTGAAATATTTTAATGAAATGAACGGTTCAATAAAAATCGCGTAAAGATCCCTAAAACATAACGCTGAGCGTCCGTTGAGCAGTTGCTGTAACCAGTTAAAGTTAAGATCTCGGCCATAGAATGTAAAATGAACTGTATAAATGCAACATTACGCTTTGTGATCGGATAAAATGAGGCGTCGATTTCTGCAAGAAAATTCAACAAATCTAGACGATTTTCTTTTCAAGATAAAGAGAAAGTTTACTCTCGAATTGCTTAAAGAATACAGCAGGCGCTAATAAAAAGGTTCATCGTCACCAACGTGCAAAAGGCAATGTTTTTGCTATAAATCAGTGATCTACACGAGCCGAAAACAAATACTTATAAGGGACGTTATTATCACAAAACTAATGTTATTGCTTTCTTGTTAGTTTAATGTACATGTACACGTACCATACGAATGCGGTTGCCGTGAACGGGGAAAGGGGAGTAATACATACGATGGAACAAATTCACGAATTCGTATATTTTAAAAAGGAACTCAATAACTCTGTTGAGTGAAATGGGAAAATTTTGAGTAATTATATGAAATAAAATGAAGTAACATATTATTATCATGTCTTTAGACACATTACTCCCCCCCTCCGTTCAATTTGTATAGGCCTATAACGCATGAAAACTTATTTTTAAAAGCAAGCAAGGACATTCATTTTAATGATCACTTTACTAACATGTATTTAAATCACAGGTCGTGTAGATCCCCGTGGCTTGATTTATAGCAAAAACATTGGCTTCAGACAGTGGGCGGAGCCCGATGTTTTCGTCCAGTACAGTTGTCAGAATTCCCGGGCGGAAAATACGACCGGCAATACGTCTTTTAAAATCCAAATAGAGCTTTAATATATGTTATGGTATTTTTGATCACATGGTACTGAATCGACCAATCAAATAGCAGTTTATAGCAATGATACTAGGCTATTATTAACATTGGGTACGCTATTCCAGTGAGCGAAGCGGTCTTTCGACGGCAAGCGACTGACATTCTGAACAGCCTATTCCATGACACAATTCTAAGTTTTTCCCTTGGTCCCTAGTGATATTTTGAGCTATAGGCCTAATGAGAGATTATACAAAAATTAAAAAATGGAGAAAATAGGGCGGGCAATCCAAACTTTAATAAATGGTCCATGATCATTTAATGGCCGCTTTGCACTCATTGTTGCACCTTTAATATATATTTTTTTTATTATATGCCAATGTTAAATTGTTCGCGGTAATAACTGATGTTGAGGTGTCGAAGTCTGGAGATCCTCGCCTGCCACGCGCATGGTTCGGGTTCGAGTCCCTGTATAACTTTTTTCTTTTTTTATTAAATGGTTGTGCTTTGATTTTACGCTTACATTTATAAATACGTTTACTTTATATTAAAGCATTTATTATCCCTTCAGTTGTATGAAAATGAAAATAATTTATGTTCTCATATTGCGTTTTGGTTAATGGCCAGCCTTTAATTAACATTGGGTACGCTATTCCAGTGAAATCTATAATATGCAAATACAACTCCAGAAGACCGTAGAAGAGAACAGCAGGAAACTCGACCTTATCTTGAACCATTTTAAAATAAATGAAACTCCCAGAACAAGAACAACTTCTCCATCAGATGAAATATTTTCAGACACCCGCATTTGGAACGCAACTATAGAACAATCTTACAAGGTCAGTGAGACAAGAAGAGAGTCCTTTAACACACTCTCTGACTTATGTGAACCCCCCACCCCCTTATGATGG